GGAGTGTCAGAGACAGTGCAATTGGCACAGGACAGAGCAGAGTTTAGGGCTGTTGTACATAGGGTCGCTATGAGTTGCAAGTGACTCGATGGCATGTAACAACAACAACAACAATCAGCAATAGATAGCAGGAATTGTCAGTCTGATAATTATTTGGTCTGCATAAAGTCAAAGCACAATATTATAAGGTACTTTAAAAAATAATTCAATAGGTGTATACCAGAAATGACTATTGGAAAATCTAATTGAAACAGCAATAGTAACATTAATAATTAACAGTAACATTGATAATGTTAATTGAATTGACTTTTCTGCTTTATACTTCTAATTTCCATTCTTTTGATAGTCTACGTCTATGCACCTTTGATACTATACCTGTTCAGAGCTGACATTTATGGTTTCCTTACAAATGATCCAAGTTACACTCTCATAAAGAGGGGGATGGGTCAGAGAACCAAAATATGTCCAGTAATCCAGAGAGGAAGGAAGGAGAGTAGAAGGGTCAAAATTTGTGAATGGGGCACGTTTTCCCTGGAAGGAAAAAAGTTTCATTATATCGTGACATATATTATTTATGTCATATATGTAAGAATAATATATGTCCTATATGTAAGAATAATATCTAAGCACACTAAGTCATTCTCAAATCTTTGGCACATAACAGTAACAACATATGTAAGTATTACCTATGCAGTCTTGATATTTTAGCTAAGAATTTAACAGAATACTCCACTAAGAATATTTTATAATTATGTATATAATCTATAAAAGCAATAGAATATGAAAAACCCCAGAAAGTGCACTGTACGTTCCCTCTTTGTCATTCAGCTGAAGATAAGTGAAATTTTTAAAAAATTTACAATTTATAGACTTTTAAAGAATTTCATTTCTAAAAAAAAAATAAAAACGAACACACAAAAAACAAAAAAAAAAAGAATTTCATTTCTGCTATAAAACAGTCATTTCTCTGAAAATGTCAGATACTATTTGATGTCCAGGGTTACTCTTTACATGCAAATTAATTATAATTTGGTCTTATTATTTTTCCTATTGCCTTTTCTGATTGATTGTTGTTAGTATTTAAATAAGGAAATGGTATTTCTGTGCTAATTTTTATGCAATCAACTTTACCAGGCTTTTATATGAATTTTATTTTTACGTTATTGGGTTGAATTTTCTCATATGCCAATGATCACATTATTTGTTCTTAAGGACAGTTTAGTCCATATTTTGTCAATATTTTTTCTAATATAAACATTTATTTCTTTATTTTACTTAACAAGTTCTTCATTATAATGTTTGATTGTGGTGGTCATATTTGGTATCCTGGTTTTGTTCCTGATTAAAATGTAAAAGCTTCAAATATTTCACTATTAAGGTTGATATTTGACCCAAGTTTCTAGGAGATATCCTTTATTAAGTTCAAGAAGTTAACATGAAGTATATATCTGTACCATCTTCAATGTGGCAGATTTCATCTGAACTCAGAAACTAAGCAGGATCAGGCCTAGTTAGTAGATGGATGGAAGACGTTAACACAGAACTGGCATTAAATATCATCAAATACTTAATACCTAAGACATTGATACGATTGTTCCTCTTTTGTTTATTTCTATAATGGTTTATATTAAAATATTCACTAATACTGAACTATACTTGCATTCCTGGGATACATTCTATGTATTCAGAAGGGAACTCTGGTGGTTTAGTGGTAAAGAGTTGTGCCGCCAACCCCAAGGCTGTGATTCATCCACCAGTTGTTTTGCAGGAGAAAGGTGACAATCTCCTTTCAGAGCCTCTCAAAATCCTCTGGAGGGTCAGCTACTAGTTGGTTCTAACTTTACTACACATAATAACATTCAGAAGCACGTTATTATAAGATACTTTTGAATTTTATTTATTCTAAATGATTCCAAGATTTATTTCAACCACATCTCTAAGGAAAAGTGGCATGTGTCTTTCTTTTCTGTGCTTTTCTCAGTTTTTGTATTAAATTTCGTTCAATTGTTGAGAAGTGTAATGTCAATTAACTCTTGTATAATTAACTGCTGCTTCTTGTTGTCATGTGCTGTTGAGCTGATTCTCCAGAAGGTTTTCAGAAGCAGTAATTGAATGGGTGGAGACTGCTCATTCTTCTCCCACGGCGCAGCTGACATATTTAAAACACATGCTTTTGAGATTGTAGAGAAGCGTCTTACCACTAGGCCACCAGAGCTCCCTATGTGTTTCTTACAGGAAAAAATAAAACTTTAACATAAAGAGGTTTGGATCTAGACTCCTCTTCTAATAGATAATTTTAAGAAATCCCGTTTCTTTTGCGGTTCTCTATTTCATTTTGTAACTCTATTTGAGTCAATTTTCTTGTTTCATGATAGCTTTAGTTATGCCTTATTTCTTATTTTAAACTTTTTTGTGTGTATGTCTTTCCTTTTTCCTTCTTTATAAAATTTTTCAGAAGTATGCTGCTTGTTGTTCCCTTTAT